ATCACTCTTATCAATATGACAGACCAATGCACACCATAACCCAAGAACATGCAAATAAATTAAGATGTCATGCCCCTATGTATATATGTACTGTCATTACTGCCATACAGTTATCTATTGTTTTCCTCTGTCCCAATTTTTCTTTTTAATACTTGGAGGCGGAGCGGAAGATTCAAACTCATCATCTTATAATAGTGGAGTCAGGTGTTGAATTACTGTTAAGCTATCCCTGTAACCACAATTAAGATACAGAGAAGAGTCACATAATACATACTATACAACGTTATTTAGTGTAACTCTATATTTTATAGTTTTCATCGAATTTTTGTGATCAACCAGTCTGATCTTGAGGTGGGTGAGACTGAGAAAATATGCTCTTGATTGCTTCTTCCTTCTCATCAACGAAGTCGAAAAAGCTATAGATGATGCCGGACCATCGACTGCTTGATGATCTCGAGGATGGAGAAGAGGAAAGATTCCTCTGCCGGCGTTTGTACCGGATGAATTGGCAAACCATTTGAAGAAGAAATACTAGAAGAGCAGCAAGAGCAATTGAACCACATAGTAGATATAGACCCCAGAAGCTGATCAAGTGAAGTTGGTTAGGCTCAACGTCCTGTCCCTTCTCACCAGGACAACCCATCTTACAAAACCACTTCTTGTGGATCTCCTGAAGTTTTCCGCTTTCAGAAAGTTTCAAGATCGCTGTTGACATGTCCAAAGCAAGGGGAGATTCTTTTTTAAAAGCCTGAGATAGCAGGAATAAACAAAACTTAATAAGAAAATGCCAGAACAATATCATCACCAAAGTGGGTCTTTCTTGTATACAAGTCATCTTAGTTTCATTGACCTTATTCATATCGAGCAATAAAAGCATATATACTTATTTGAAGCAATCATTTCGACTCAAACCATGTTAATTTAAGCCTGGGATAGTAAGTAACACAATAAGATCATCACTATAGTTGCTTTTTCATAAATGACGATATATATTTGGATGGTTGGTTTTTTCATAAATGACAATATATGTTTGCTTGAAGCAATCATTTAGACAGGAACCAGTATAATCAATTCGAGCAACAAACCTATTGAATTTTCAAATGTTTTCCTCTTATATGATATGTTTTTGAACTAAAATTTCAGGTGGTAATGTTGATGAATTATGATAATAGCCTGTTCTAAGTTATTTTTAGAGATACTTACAAATCCCCATCCACTCTTGGTAAATGGCTGGCCAATGATCCCAAAATCAGTTCGTTCCGACAGAAACAACTCAACATACGGAAGCTCATCTATAATAGCTGCCACGCCTCCGTTCCTTGGCCCTCGCCGTAGAGCTCTTTCAAACTCTTCTGGATTGCGCAGTGAAACAAGTCTTGAGCTCGGTACGTAGAGAATCTCAGTCAGGTAGTTGTAAACAAAGGAGCCTACTTGGTATCCAATAGGTGAGTTAGTTGCAATGAGGCTATCAATACCGGTGATGGGTGAAGAAAGCTGCTGAAGTGTAAGGATTGAAGTCAAGCTTGCGGTATAGCTTGATGTGATCACCATCAATAGAAAAAGCCATACCACCATCACCATTTTCCCCAATGTGCTTACAGTATCTTCCTCTGTGATATGATGAATCATTTGAGACTTATGAGTGCAAGAGTAATGTGGTTTACAAAGCTGCTATATGGACTATGAAGTTAGATTAAAACGAGTGAGATACAAAATTTAAAGTATTCAAGCACAATGAAGCAATTCTGGCAATGTCTGGTTTCAAGGAAAAAAAAATGTTCGAATGATTTTCTTCCTTAAAATCCAAACGCATTT